GTCCTCTGTCAAGACGCTTCCCAGGTATTTAAATTCTGCGTCTGCTTGATTCTAATGTTCCCGACCTTCAGATCACATTTCGGGCTCATCCTCTTAATGACGACCGTGAACTCCTTTTTCTTTTAGTTTATGCTTTGTCTTTTCTTCTCACTCTCTGTCGCTTCCTTCTGTGGGAAATTTTATAATTTCATGTCCGTGTCTGCTATCAATACTGTGTCATCTGCGTATCTTGTGCCGCTAATGCTAAATCCCCAATTCTCTCTGGGTTGCCTTGCTTTTTAGGTTAAACAGGTCGGGTGAGAAGACGCATCCTTGCCATATGCCCTTTTCTATTTTTGTATAATTCATTGAAATTGTTCTCTATGTGCATGCATATTTTTGCTGCCAGCATAGGTTCTTGATTATTCTGATATCTTTCTCCAATATATCAAGAAGTTCCATCAGATCCTTGTGGTGTACTTTCTCGAAAGCCTTTGCGTAATCTATGAGACATAGGTACACGTACTTTGGCATCTGTATCGCTCTTTCGGATAACATTCTGAGCATGAATATCGCGATCCTTCGTCTTTAACGAAACCGTTTGTTTTCTTAGGCATAACTACGAAAATACATCTCCTGATTTCTTTCGGTATATCTTTGCCGTTGTAAATTTCATTTGTTATTTCGGTGATCTTGTCTCTACCAAAGTCATCTAAGGCTGTCAGCATTTCCGTTATAAATTCCGTCTGGTCCATCTGCCTTGTTTCTGTTCAACTTCGCCAGTGAGGCTTTTACTTCGGTCTTCGGAATTCCAGGTCTGTCGGTAGTTCTGTGTATTGTGGGTTGTTCCCTTACGTCGTGCAAGAGTTTTCCAATGTACTCGTTTCAGCGTTGAAGATTTCTTTTTTTTTCCTTTTCTAATATATGAAATACAAATCTCAAATCAAAACCAGAGAGATGACAACTAAAAATCACGCTACTACCTTTTCTTATGTTTATATCTAATAATAATTTCTTCTTTAGAGAGATAGGATCGGCAGAAGAAACTTCGCATTAAAATGTCCGTGTCAATCTCGAAAAATCTTTTTCTTTCCTTCAAACTATCTCTCTTTCTCTAACTCTGTTTGTGTCGCAGTTTTTCTCTCGCTCAAAACTCTCTCTCTCTCTCTCTCTATATATATATATATATATATATATATATATATATATATATAAAAAGAAAACAGACCACTTTAAGGTTCCATTATAATAATTTATTTCACAAGAGCCCTTTTTTAGATGAGGCCGGATCATCAGATAGCACTTCGACAAATGAAATGAAATTAAAATTGATGGGTAGTATAAGTTTTTTTGTAACTTAACAGAGGTGTAAAAGGTAGTTAAAGAGACATGGTAGAGTATAGGGAGGATTAATTTATATCTCTCAAGCATACTTAGTATTGGGGAGGAGGAGTGACCAGACCATGACCTATTTAGACGGTTAACTTAACGGAAGTGATATATTGAAATTGGAGGGAGAAAGGAGGAAAGAACCACATACGTTCATTTACATGTGTGTAATTGCACATATAAATGAACGTATGTATATGTAGGATTTGCATAAGTGTATATATGGTATATATATATATATATATATATATATATATATATATATATATATATATATAAAATCAAAATCTTTAATATTACCTTCAAATATTACTCCATCTTAATTCAAAACCTAAACTTTAAAAGAAAGATTATCCATTTAAAAAATAATTAAAATTACATTCATAAATTAGATTCAAACTGATAAAGATCTTACCTTAACTGACTTTTACAATATTAAAAGAGTACTATTGGTCGGGTAAACAAAGTGTTTTAGTTTAAAACTTTTTTAATGTGTTCTCTATGAATGTGTTAATAAATACAGTATTTAACTTATATTAAATTCCTAAATTATTTGTAAAAAAAAAAGTTAAACATTTAAATTGCTAGCAAACATCAAATTAATTTCTTCGTGGATATTTTTAGACATCTAAATTACAATGAAACATAAAAATCTATTTTTTTACATAAATTGCTAAAACTTACCACCCCTCTCCTTCATATGTAAAATCCATTTACAGCCTCTTTCTCTTTACTTCCCTCTCCCTTTTCTTTTTCCTTTTCCTTTTTCTTTTCTCTCTTCTCACCTCCCATTTCAATATGTCACTTCCGTTAAGTAAACCTTTTAAATAGATCTAGATCTGGTTACTCCTCCTCCCCCAATACTAAGTATGATTGAGAGAATTATTAAATTAAACCTTTCTAAACTCTACCATATCTCTCTAACCACGCTTTATTACACTCTCTGTTAAATTACAAAACTTACACTACCCATCAATTTTTTCATTTAATTTTAGAAGTTCTGGTGAAATAAATTATTACAATGGAACCTTAAAGTGGTCTTTTTTTCTTTAAAATATTAGCACTGGATTTACATTGAGCTCTCAGGATTTCATACTCCTTGGGACAACCCATATGAATTACCAAGTTTTTCATATCTTAATTATATATATATATATATATATATATATATATATATATACACGTACACACAACAACATCTATAAAAAAACATTTAAAACGACAAATTGTCTAGAAAAAGACGGAAGTCAAAATGGCAACATGTGAAAGAAAAGAGGAGAAAAAAAAGAAAGAAAAACTAAGGTGTGGGTGTAAAGTGGAAAAAGTGGAAAAGGACAGATAATTACGACATTGTTCACGTGTGCACATCCGTGCAGACGGGGGAACGCGTGAGAATGCACACATGCACACATACACTTTGCAAAAAAAAAACTTGCACCAATAATAAGTGCATATAAAAAAGAAAAATCCAGAAGCATGAGCAGTCAACAGTTGATACCCGCTGAAGAGTGGACGGACGGGTCAGTTTACGCAACTGTGTAATCTGGATGCTGAAGGTAACATCAATCAGCTAAGCGACGAACCTTTAACTTGTATTATATATTTGAAGCTACACACACACACACACACACACACACACACACACACACACACACACACATATATATATATATATATATATATATATATATATATATATATATATATATATATATATCATATCAATTGATAATTTGTAGAGAAAATTTCAAAGAGGATATTAATCCAAAGAGACCTCAACGTAAATAACAATAATATAATAATAATAATAATAATAATAATAATATAATAATAATAATAATAATAATAATGTCAAGAAATCATTAAATATTCATATCGTTTATAATTTATTTCTTGAATATATTTTAATTATTCAAAATATTATTTTTTTAAAAAAAACCTTTGTTCTGAAAAATGAATATTTAAATAGATTCACGAAATAAATTATAAACGAGATGAATTTTAAGGATTTTTTGACTATATATATATATGGGATAAAACGACAAATGGAAAAAAAATCTTAGATTTTCCGACGCGTTTCGTCTTTCGACTTATTCAAGGCAAAAATGAAATCGAAATGTTTTTGTTGTTATAGTTACATTAAAAATCCAAATTTAAAAAGATAGACGCTTTTGACTTTTTTTCTGGTTAATGTAAATTACCTTTATAGCAAGGCATTTTTTTTTACATTAACCAGAAGAAGAAAAAAGTATAGAGAGAAGCGTCTCCTTTTAAATTTGGATTTTGGATTGGAAAAAGTCGGAAGACGAAACGCGTCGACAAAATCAAAGATTTTTTTCCAGTTATCATTTTATACCAATCTGTCTTGTCCACAGAATTCATCTGGGAATTTAACTATATATATATATATATATATATATATATATATATATATATATATATATATATATATATATATATATAGTGTTGCACAGTGAGTGCTGATGCTAATTAAATAGTGCTCGATGTATTATAATAACAACTATAATTTATATTTTCCTCACTGGCAGCACAACTTTGGGTTTCATGCAAAATTCAATTCCTATATACTGTTTGCATTGTGCATAAATCTTTTGATTTCTACTGCTGCTGATGAAAAATGTATATTTAATAATATTTTTAATAATAATTATATATATATATATATATATATTATAAATATATATATATATATTATAAATAATTGATTTAAAATATTTTTTTTTTTCTAATGTCTTTAATTTAATCTGAAAATTAAAATTGTGGCTTTTAGCTTCCATTTTTGAAACATGGTTAGAACTTTGTCAACGAAAAAAACATATTTTAAATCAATTAATTTATAATATTAATGCTCTGTAAATTTACATTGAGCACGATTTTGTAAAAATAAAATATGTATAAGAACACCGGATTATATATCTTTGCTGTTCTTTTTTTATATATATATATATATATATTTATATATATATATGAGTGCCTGTGCGTGTTTGTGTGTGCGTGTGTACGCGCAAAGATGTGAGCATCAGGTTATTTGAAATGTAACATTCAGCTGACCAGAAGAGCAAGACGAAATAAGCTAATATTACGCAGCATATAGCGAATTTTCTCTTACTCTTTTACATGTATCGAGAGCATTAACATGACAGATTTCAATATGACACGGGAAATGAAAAGGCGCCTTGTGCTTGTGGCAATAGCTGCCATCCACAGCGATTCAGAGGAAGCCAACTTATTGAAGGTGGCCAGCTGTGCCGGAAGAAAGACAGGTGCCTACGCGAGCGCCATGGAGATACAAATGGCAATGCACACATAGTTCCCGTCATCTGTTATGGTAACGGACGTTATGGGCAACGAGGTTCATAACCTGCACTAAGCCATCTTCCGACAAGAGATGATAGATACGGTGATAAAGGCGTTGATCTAATGTCTTACCTGTTCCTGTAAGAAGCTGACTCTTTTGGGTAAACTGATTAAGGAATGTTTAGTTGCACCACGCAAAAATGTGGCCCCCATGCTCACCTTATTTTAATCCTCTTGGTGACGACTTCTTTATAGAAATCAGCCATTGATCCCAAAATAACGAGGAAATATTGAAGGATATCTACGTGCTCGTGATGAACCTCATGATTGCGAATCGGTCGATCCAGTCAGAGAGTTGCTTGCCGTGTGCATCAAGATCATTCTCTTTGATGAAGCTAGTTTTTTTTTAATTTTAATATTGATACAATTAAAACAGTTTAATATTGATACAATTATATTTGTGAATCTATTCATAGGTAGATCTGAAGGTATATTTTCAAGAAATAGCAACATGAACTCCATACTCCATAATAATACATTACATGAGATTTCAGTTAAATTAAAATTCAGTAGAATTTGTACACACACACACACACACATGCACACATACACACACGCACACGCATAGCTGATGGATCCTCAATGTCATTCTGCCGTACAGCTTCCTCCGTTTTGTCAGTGCGCACAGTGCGCTGAGGACCCCTTCCGGGAAGATCGCCGACTGATCCAGTTCTTTCAAACCGATCGACTATTAAACATTATAATAAAGCTCTACTTCTGTATGGAGCACTGTCTTCTTAAAATAACAACAAAAAAATACTAAGAACTCCGGATTATGCACCCAACGTGTTCTTTTCTATTTTCTGCATACCTGTGCACTTATATATATATATATATATATATATATATATATATATATATATATATATATATATATATATATATATATATATATATATATTGAAATAATGGCAAATAGATAAATGAATAAAATGTAATTTCTCTTTATTTTTTTAAAATAAAATAGATAACATATCGGCCTGTTCACACTCCTCCCAGTCTTTTGAAACATCGAAGTGGAATGAACATACTATAATATAAATATATAAAAGTTCAGATAAAAACAAGTGTTCGTTTAGAAACCTTGCATACACACACACACACACACACACACACACACACACACACACACAAACACACACACATATATATATATATATATATATATATATATATATATATATATATATGAAGAGAGAGAAAGAGGGAGAAAAGTAGGTATATATTTTTTTTTATTTTGCTTGATTCTCATTGGGTAATCATGCTCCATGTGCATTCGACTTGTGAAACAAACGTTAGTATAATCTATAGCGTTCCGAATTGCAAGAGAAATGACGCGTCCATTCAAATTCCAAAAAATTAACGGATTCCAAGCCTAACTAAAAAAAATCTAAATATTCCATTATGTATGTAAGAGTATAATAATTCTAGTTTGTATTTGTAGAATATGAACCAGAACAATTATCATGAAAGTATTTGTAGAAAACACACAAGAAATATACACTACATCGGTGGGAAAGTGACTGGAGCCGAGATATCAGGTCAGAACTAATGTAGATTATTGTTTGGACTTTATCAAGAAATTCTGAATGTATATGTTGTAACCCAGGGAAGGTTACTGAATAGAATAATCACACGAAGGTTAGTAATGAACGATAATACTTAGGACCAGAACAACACATATAAGATTCGCCAGCAGCTTGTAGAAGTAGTAGTCAGATGCTAGAAATGAGTTAAGTGACTTCCGCAATGAATCTCCAAATGCAGGATATTTATCTACCACCTCACGCGGTCAGATGTGGCACAAGACTGAATTTAATATGGGGTATCCAAGCCCGTAGGCTCGGCCAAAAATTCCTCGTAAACCTCGTATAGAACCGGGTCGGGGAGCTGTTTTCCAAAACGAGACTCTGCCTTTCGACAAAGCCTCGTCTGGGGATCCTCTCCGCCCGGAGTCAGAGAGTTTGACCAGCACAGCTGGAGACGAATCGCCAAATGTTGGACATCTACTAAGCGCCCCACGCGGCCAGATGTGGCACAAGGCCGAATTTAATGTGGGGTATCCGAGTCCGTAGGCTAGACTAAAAATTCCGCGTAGACCCCGTGTAAAACGGGATCGGATAACTGTTTCCTGAGACGAGATTCTGCCCTTCGACATAGCCTTGTCTGAAGATCCTCTCATTTGTTATTTATGTGAATGGAGATATAACCGTCCGTACATATGCTACAACAATATAGCAGGAACACCAGACCAGACGTGGTAGCAGAAAGAATTTTGTCTATAGGTATGTCTATAAGTACAAATTCGAATGATGAAGGAGACATAAATTCAACACAATAGATATCTATTCATTTTTCAAAGTAATATCTACTGTAATACATCATGCATATTAATTAGAGTCATCGAACATTATCTCTGAAAATTCAGCAAAATACGTGTCAGACTACGGACTTATTGATCACATTGATATATCTCCTTAGATTTTTTTTGATTCGATTGCCAGATGAATAAGCACGCACATCAACGTATTGTATTTAGAACATAAATTCATTGATGACATTATAAGTAGCATTTTCTTCAAATACACGCATATCACAGACAAAGCACTCTTTTTCTTTCGTTTTTTTAAAAAAAAATTTCGTTCTCTCTCTCTCTTTCTCTCTCTCTCTCTCTCTCTCTTTGTCTCTCGCTTGTTTTGCATATGATTTTATTCCGTCAGAGATGCAGACAAGTCAACAACTCCTGCGCCCACTTACGATAAACGGTGTTATACGTTGAGTTTTATATTTTTATTCACTTAACAATCAACAGACTGGCACCTTTGTGTAGAGGTAACGTTTTTAGGACGTTGTCGTGGCTTCAAACCTGTTTACCGAACGCGCATGCATTTAATGCGCCTCAGCCTGGATACTTAGAAAACATTAGTAGCTTTTATGCTTTCAATGCTATCATTTTGAATCCGACGTATCGAATAAATTTTCCATTTCTGCAAATTGGCAATAAGCGAGATTGTATAGGATTTATTCTTTTGCAATTTTATTGCAAGTAAAACAGAATATTATGGAGAGACATATATATATATATATATATATATATATATATATATATATATATATATATATATATATAAAGAGAGAGAGAGAGTATATATACTGATTTTACTCTACATATGTGTAGCTGTGTAAGGATTGGCGAATGAAATGAATTCTTCTACTTTTGCAATTCTTAGCAAGTATTTGTAGAGACGGTTGCATAAAATATCAGCCAAACAGAATGGCGCGGAAAGACATAAAGACGCCACGTTATCTACACGATACAACATATATATATATATATATATATATATATATATATATACACTTCGTGCAATGACATTTTCTTCTGCACTTTACTAAAAGAAATCCAATTTTTTTTTAACAAACCCCGATTTTAAAAGTTTCTTTTAGCGGCTTACAGCATAAAGAAAAAATAAATTATAAAAAAAGTCAAATATGAGAAATAAATAAAACATAAAAATATCCATATAAAAAATATAAATATAGTTAATATATAAATATAGATTCAAAGTAGATCTCGATTGCCCACGTTCCCAATTAAGTTATAGCACATTCAAAATAATACAGGAAGAAATATGATCCATGTGTACATTTCACGGATTAGGAAATATCTTTATTTTGTTTACTATTAACTAATACTTTTTTAATTACCAAGTCCTTCTTAACTGATAGGTGCGTGAAGATAGTTGTTAATGCCTAGTCCTCCGATGTCGAAGCGATCTACGGAGGTGTTCAGCATTGTTCGTTTCTTGGTTAAAGCCTGTTTTTACTTTACATAAATGATCTGCCTAAGTTTACACCGATTATTTGTGAATATCTTTGATGAAGACAAAACGGTACATGGGTTCATATCTGAAACACTAGATGACCAGAAGTTGGTAGCCGATCGCTCCTCTGACCGAGTTCTAACAGTTCAATATAGGGTAAAATGGCTGGTCAAACTAGTGATTTCCATCCGCAACTAGCGAACCCTTTTTTAATCGCGATGAACAGATGTTCCCTCATCGAGGCCCGTGACTTGGGGGCCTATTAAGACAAACTCAAACCAAACTTACATACGATCTATCCCTAAAGATGCTGGAAAATTCTCGGAACGCTGCGCCGCTCTAGTAAATGCCAGATTCCTCCTCGTATCCTCTGCTTTTACAAGAGCCAAATTAGGGCAAAAATGTAGTACTGTAGCCATATAAGAGCAGGAGGTGCCAAGAGTTCAATTTCCCCACTCCATAGAATTCAAATGCATTTCCGCATCACACACACACACACACACACATGCACACACACATACAGACATAAATATATGTGTGTGTCTGTGTGTAAAATTTAAGATATAACTATTTAGTTATATCTTAAATTTTACAAAATATATCTTTAAAAGCACAATATGAATAAAGTTTTCTTTTGACTTTATTCATATATATATATATATATATATATATATATATATATATATATATATATTATTATGGGGCCCACCCCTTTTCATACAAGTGGACTCGACCAGTGTGTACTTGTACTGCTCCCAGTGAATACCCGGAAGGTGGAAGAGAGACAGTAACAGAGATACACTGATACAGTGAGGTAACCGCTTCGTAGGAGTCACAGTTGCGAGCACGTAGACTCAGAAGTAAGTCATACTTCGATACTGAATCTCCCAGACTATATATATATATATATATATATATATATATATATATATATATATATATATATATATATATATTATTGCTACTAACCGCATTTCTGGATCTACTAACCGTATTATCAATTGTATTATTAGGTCAATACATTTATTTGCTATATTTCATTCCTGCGTTTGCCATTCATTTGAGACCAGATTTCATCTCGGAATCCACACATATATATATATATATATATATATATATATATATATATAGATATAGATAGATAGATAGATAGATAGATAGATAGATAGATAGATAGATAGATAGATATGTCATATATCTGTATTTATATGTGTTATTATTGTTCTTGCGATGATCGTTGAAATAACGTATGGCCTCTGTTTTCGATTCACCATCGAGAACTGTGAGATTAGCACACTTTCAATGCATTTTCTTTTTAGTGAATTCTATTCTCTTCAAATCAAACTGGCATTTTTTTAAACCAAAGCAGTGGTCAAATGTATTACAGTGAACCACCAGTGGATTTAGTTTTTTTGTTATGCAGAATATCTCTGTAGTGTTCATATAATTTTTTGGGAGGTTTCTGGATATTTGGCCGATGTACATCAGTGGGCATTTTATACAGTCTATTTTTTTATATCCCTGTCCCTGTTCTTCTGTTATTACTATTTCGTATGGTATTAAATATATCTTTAATAGTTTTAGAGGTAATGTTGAAGAATTTTATATCAAGGTTGGACAGGCTTTTCTCAATGGTGGCTGTTATGGATTTTGATAGTAGGATTATGTGATTGATTTTTTTATGGCTGTTGGGACTATTATTATTTATGGGTTTTGATATATATATATATATATATATATATATATATGAATACTTGTTCATATTCATTATTATATTTTTACTCACACACACACAAACACACACAAACACGGATTTAGCATGGGCTTAACTTGACAGAAGAGAGTAGGATACTTTGAGGACAACAAAATTTAATCCTATTTTTTTCTTTTTAGCATAAAAAATTATAATAAAATATGTCAGGCTTCACTTTTTTAACCATGTATAAAAATTTTCACATCGTCATATTTAAATATAAAACAACTATTTTTGGGCCAATTTAAAAAAATTATTAGCGGCCCACTTAAACTTTTGAACTGAAATATATATATATATATATATATATATATATATATATATATATATATGAAGTTTTCATTTGGTCTTTATTCATATATATATATTATGAAATGGACAATTATTTTTAAGACATTTTATGATTATACATTCTTTTTTTAGATACAAATATTTAAGTCAATGCTCTGTTTTATAATAAACAGTATTAAAGAACATTTACTGGCCTGAATGTTCGAGAAATTTTTATAGAAAATATTCGTCCCCCGACAGAAATCGAGCCTGTATCCTAAACGTGACCGTTTCGGTCACAAATAGCACAGATATAATAAAACTAAACAGTAAGACATTTTGATTGAATTTAACAAAACTTAATTATATATCTATATATACATATATACATATATATATATATACGCACACATATATATATATATATATATATATATGTAGTAATATATCTATATATATATATATTCACACACAAGTGTACACACATATATGTAAAGATAGATAATTAACAGATTGAAACAACCATACAGATAGATAGATAGATAGATAGATAGATAGATGATATATGCCAAATCAAGTTGAACAAATAAAAGTTAACAGTCAGAATATCTCGACATTTGCAGAATACAAATGAAGCAGAAACAAGATTAAACCAAGCAAATCTAATTTTGAATATATCGCCCGATTTTTATTGTTCTACGCTATCAAAATAGAAGATACACTGTTTTTCTTATTTGTAAACCATGAGAGCTAATTTTCTACACATGGCCCTTTATTCTTCATTGCAATTCAACATAATAACTTTTTTAATATATTGTCTTTTACAAACGTATCCAAGCAGAAAACCTCTCTCTTACACCTCAGTATTAAATTTGCGCAATATATGCATGTCTATTATCCAAATTTTGCATTGTGTTTGATTTCATGTGCATATTCATTGAATTCGTTGAGTATATTTGATTATTTATTTAATAAGTTTATTTTGGTCTTATTCAAAGTGCACTGTGGTCGATACAGACTAGTTTTTTTTTTTTTATCAACTTAGTATCGGAGATAAGACAATTGTAAATCGAAGAAGCCTCACTCGTCGTCAAATCTAAAATATTAGTGGTAGTCTTGTCCAATACTGCACAATGCTAAAAAACCAAAACATTAATTGAGTGTTTATCAACGTGGACACTAGTGCCCCTTGTGGGCTCTTTTATGTTGAAAAGGGGCGCTGAAAATTTTTATTTCATTTGGTGGGGCGGGCGGTGGACTTACTCGGAGTGTGTTGGGGGGTTTCTTTTTCAAATTTTCAAAAATGAATCAATATTAGCGACAAACGGAAATTTTTGAAAGGTATCTAAATTTTTTCTGAAGACATCAAACATTTCTTCTTTGCTTTCCAATTTCCTATATGGCTGAATGTGGTTTCAATGCAGTTACACAGCTTCTTACTAAACAAGGAAACCGCCTGCAAATTACAAAATGAGGATATCTACGATTACTTCTATGTAGCATGGAACTTCGACTAAGACCACTTAGTCAGTAAGTACCAAAGTCAACCATCGCACTGAAAACATTGAGATAATCTATCAAATAAAAGCTTTATAGATATTTTCCATTAGCATCTTAAACATTGGTATTTATAATAGAAGTGGTGATATCCTAAACATAGCTTAGGTGTGGCACAACGCTTGAATTATGGAGCACTCCGTGAGGATCGAACTCATTGTTCAGTCCTAACGAGATAACCTTGCTAACAATTGCATCACGTCGATGTGCGCAATTTATAATAGAAATGAAAACAATATTACAATTGTTTTTGAACTAATACCTAAGCGTTATATTGCCATGAAAGATGAATTCAGTATAATATTCAAAATTTGATTTGACAGGGAGGCGTTAACAAAAATTTGGTGGATAAATGGGGCACTGGTTGATAAAAAAACACTGCATCAACCCAAGAGCTGAAGTCATGATCTTAAATCTCCATGCTAGGTGTAGACTGAATGTCTAGATCTAAAATGAACTATATCGCTCCACACAGTCGCGTGTGTCTGGCGAAGACCCAGCCATTGCATCATGTCAAACCTCTCCAGGAGTACGACAAGGAGGAAATGAGAGATACAGTCTATTTAATCTCTTCCTAGTCTATGCTCTTCACAATCGTTGAAACAAAGCAGCGTCCTCTCAGATGGGGAGAGCTCTAGGAGCGTGAGGACATTGATGAGGAAGAACAGTGGTTCCAGCAGGATGGTTCTCCTCCTCACCATACTAATTTTACAATGTCATGGCCCCTTGATAATTTTGGGGAGCGTCTCATCAGCCGCATAGCTGAAGTGGAATGGTCACCTCATTCGCTTGACCTGAGCCCCCCAGATTTCTTCCTCTGTGGGTTCTTCAAGGACAACCTCTACCAGGCCAAACCTCACACCTTTGGTACCTTGAAGGCAGCCATCACTAAGATTCAAGCGATCACCGATAAGGAATATACACGCGTTATCAAAAACTTTGCATTCAGCAATGCTTTCATCTGAACGGCGGGTATCTGGCGTGTGTCCTTTAGAGATCCTCTTGACATAATGGCTTTATGTTTGATAAGAAATGTTTGCAAATCCTAAAATGATATCCTTTTACCTTTCAATAAATGTAGCTTCCATTAATCTATCATTTGTTGACACTGATTGATACCAATTATTTTGTTTCAAAAATTGTGAAACACCCTGTAAACAAGCACAGATATGAAGTGATGTGCACATATTATTTAAGCTTTCATATCTGTGCCTATGAACACTAATGCGTATGTTCCAATCGTCACAATTACATTGGACCCTATTGTAAGTGGTGGGGTAATATGCTAAGTAGTCGACCACTAACAGTGGTTTACCTACTTCAAGTCGCTGGCGAGTATTGTATTTCGTTGATTTGATAAAGATTGCCATTTCATTTCCAAACTCCGTTTTGGTTATTTCTCATTCAGTGACCCTTCCTAGCTTACAACAAGGTTCCTATTCCTCTTTCTTTTATTCAAGCTGTCTTTAGAATTTGGATTTACCATTTTTTTTTCTTTCAAAGCACTTTTAGATTCTCATTTCAATCTCTTTTCTTAAAAAAACTCTTTTCCATTTGGATTCTTTCTTTCTTTCTTTCTTTCTTTCTTTCAAACCGTCTTTTGAATACCCATATCTATTTTTTATTTATTTCTTTTTTTTCTAGCCGTCTTTTCCATCTGGATTTTTCTTTCTTTCTTTCATTCTTTCTTTTTTCTTTCTTTCTTTTTTTATAGCCGTCTTTTCCATCTGGATTTATCTTTCTTTCTTTCTTTCTTTCTTTCTTTCTTTCTAGCCGTCTTTTCCATCTGGATTTATCTTTCTTTCTTTCATTCTTTCTTCTTTCTTTCTTTCTTTCTAGCCGTCTTTTTCATCTGGATTTATCTTTCTTTCATTCTTTTTTCTTTCTTTATTTCTTTATTTATTTATTTCAATCAAACCGTCTTTTGAATACACATATCTATTTTTCTTTCTTTCGTTTTAGACGTCTTTTCTATCTGGATTTCTCATTCTTTCTTTCTTTCTTTCTTTCTTTCTTTTTCTTTCTTTATTTATTTATTTATTTCAATCAAACCGTCTGTTTAATACCCATATCTATTTTTCTTTCTTTCTTTCTTTCTTTCTTTCTTTCTTTCTTTCTTTCTTTCTTTCTTTCTAGACGTCTTTTCTGTCTGGATTTCTCTTTCTTTCTTTCTTTCTTTCTTTATTTATTTATTTCAATCAAACCGTCTTTTTAATACCCATATCTATTTTTTCTTTCTTTCTTTCTTTCTTTCTTTCTTTCTTTCTTTCTTTCAATCAAACCGTCTTTTTGATTTGTTTTATATACCGTACCTATGAGCACTTAAATATATATCACAATCCTCATAAATACGTTGGACACTATTGTAAGTGGGGGGGGGTGATAATATGCTGTCTAAGTAGTCGACCACAAGCAGTGGTTTACCTATTTCACATCTTTGGCAAGTATTTTATTTTGTTGATGTTATGAAGATTACCATTTCATTTCCAACCATCGTTTTGGTTATTCCTGATTTAGTCAACTTTTCTTGGTTACAACAATATCACATCAATAGCTAAAGAGAAATATGATCTACAATTACATGAAAGTGTTTCACTTACTTTGAATCCATCATAAAATATACAGTACATAAAATTAATAAATACTAAAAAGTTCCACTAAATAGGGTTAGAGATCAGTTATTGCCGATGTAATATACGAGATAACACGGTATAGCTCTCGCAAGGGGAAATTTCGTACAACAAGATGCTACAAAACCCAAATATGAGCCTAAGAAATCGATCGATGTTCTTAAATAGCCTCGTCATATCAAGACTTTCATATGGATATCATACATAGCGTCCTAACTTTTCAGGAATTTTACAACTTTCACCCTTTTCTCAGATCAAGGATCCAAAATGGAATCAAGCGAATGAAATCTGAGGGTTTTGAAGTGGACAGTCGTTCGTAGGGTTGCACAGTCTCGTGTTACCCAGTCATATAAACAAAGAAATTTAACAAATAAGCAAAAGCATATTTCTCGAAGTCTTCTTCCTGAAACAACAGCCAAAATGGATATCACATATAATTCGAAGAGAAAAATACGACATAATAAAAGTTTCCACAATGCCTTAAATAAAAGGTTAGTAAGAATACCCAACACCACCACTACCGAAAAGAGTGATAACAGTCGACTTGAGAAAGATTTTATAAATTACAGCCGATTGTAGTAGGAGAAGGGATAGTGGAGTAATAGATAGCGGTTCGGATTGAAGAAATCGGAGAGCTGAATTCGAATTCCAGTCGAATTCATTACATTCAAATATGAATCCTTTTCTTCTCCCTCCCAGCTATGGGTAAATATCAGATCAGATCGGGTTCGATAGCTACAAAACCCAAATATTAACCTAAGAAATCGATCGATATTCTTAAATAGACTCATCATCTCTAGACTTTCATATGGATGCCATGCATGGTGTCCCACCTGTTCTGAAATTTTCAAACTTTCATCAAAAGTATCAGAAATGGAATCAAGCGAATGAATTCCGTGGATTTGAAGTGGACAGTCGTTCGTAGGGTCTGGCGCTACACAGTCATATAAACAAAGATCTTTAGCAAATAACCCCAAAAATGGAAAGAAATGGCAACCTACTGCGGGACAAAATATTCCTCGTTAGTCATGTGTCGAAAGATAGATGATCGCCTAAGCGTGTATCACGAACGGCACACAACTGACTGACGATAATGTTTACTCTTCAGTCAATAAATGGCTAATATTTCCTGTCTGGAAACGGCTCATTTCAACATTAAATATACCATTTATAAAAACCAGCTCTGTAATGCTTGAATATATACGTTTCCTCTAAAAACAATTAAGACGATGTTTTCATCATTTTTTTTTAATCACAAGATACAAGGGAACAAAATTGTGAGAGAATATGAGCAAAGAAATAACGCATTTAAGGAGAGAGCAATAAAAGAACAGGAATTAAGAAGACAGAAGATAACGATAGATATAGCATTTAAATTTTTGAAGATCAATCTTGACTGATAAGCGAGAAATTGGAAGAGAGTTCCACAAGCGAGAAGTGCGAAGGAAGAAACTGTCAGCATAGAACGTACGGTTTCACGTAGCCTTTTCAGCCGTAAAATCATAATTTTACCTCGCAAAATATCGTAAGCTGGTATACCTTCTTTCCATTCGATCACGAAAATAATCTGAACTTTGTAAAAAAGGAAAATGTGTATCTTTTAAACTCACACCTTCATGGATCTCCCAATTTTTTTTTTTTTTAATTATTTTCTGTGAATTACCATGCGGTCATTGAAAAGATAGTGGAGTGGATTCCAAATGCTTTATCAACTATTTGGAATTAAGCTTTCTTTTTCTTAGACTGATTGCCACTTAAGGTCAGGCAGTCTTGCCTACTCTACTATTTACCCCATATTTCGGGGGTTACGAGACGGTTTTATGCCTTTCTCAAGAGGATTTTTACCAAGGATAGCGCAACGGATGGAACCTGAGATTAAAATTGGTTCGTCGTTTTCATTTTCTGTGCCGATAGCCTTTACACTACCCTCCTAACCAATTACACTGCCCTCCAAACAAATGCTGTACTCCGGGTTAATTAAATTATGACAAAAAATTCATTTCTATCTTCTTTTCAGTAAATATTAACAAAAGTTAAAAAAAAACGAATTATTCTGGCTTTGATACTCTTTGAAGCAGTTTAATTCGGTTAAAGGATAATTGCAGATTATATCTTTTCAACGAAGCATCAACAATGTACAATCAGCACCAAGAGTTTAATCTACTAACAACGCTCATTAACAAAACCTTATTTAGTATCAAAGCACATATTTAACCCAAGGGAAATTCTGACAAAATAAAATCGATTTTTATTGATATGTTTTTATGTTACGGCTTATCAAACATTTGCAGATTATTCAAAGCAAGAAAATACTTTTAGATGGTAAGATTATTTTTGAAATAATAAACTTTTAATGATACAAGTCTTATTTATTAACCCATATGTGGTGCGGGGGAGGGGGAAGATGTGGATTCGTAGCTTTCCCAAGGGAAAGTGAATATAACCCTCCCGAATGGAATTGGAATTCACCTCTCCGCCCTCCAATTCCGAGCCGTTATGCATTACACCACCCAGCACATCCAAGCTAACAGCAATTGGCGTTCCCCAGGGGTCACCCATCTTCAACGTTGCTTGACTTCGGTTATCATAGGAAAACCAATTTTTGACGTGATACGACCTTAAGCCAAAATAAAAAAATACAAGTCTATTTTCTTTCATTTAGCAGGAAATACTTTTTTTTTTTAAATAACATTGTAATATTCTTTTTTGATTAAGCTAAAGAAACAAATTGCCTCTCTTTTTGTATATAAGTTTATTCAGATAATGATTTTCAGAATAGTAATGTATTAATGCAGTAAAATTTTGATGGAAGCAAAACTCAAATAGCTCAACACTTGTCATATTAATCTTCCTAAATGGCAGCGAATGATGAACAATCTCATTACTGTTGTAGAAGAAACTTTAGACAAAGCAGATGTCGTTCTCCGGAAGAATGTTGTGAATATCATGGACAGACGATATAAATAAACAGGTTTTTTGTTGTTGTTGTTTTTTTTTTTTAGAAAAATAGGAACAAAAATAATGAGTTCGATCAGAAAGAGGCTGATACATAATTAGGAATATAGCTTGGAAAATTTGACACTACCTGGGTATCGTTGTGTAGAAAAACGACCGACGTTCTCTACACTAATGTCAGAGCACAGACTTGTCTCTTCGCTATCTGTAGAACATCTCTCTCATAGGAAGGTTCCTCGCAAAATGGGTCGCAAGGCGTAACGTTTGAGTCGTACGCCTTGCCGCACTGAACTACGGTGTCCTCTATTATTTTATTATTAGTCCCTGTCTCTCATGGGATTAAACCTGTTCTTCACTCAACTTTTTGTTCCAAATGTTTCCTTTCAGTATTATTAATGTTATACCGGAACATACCTATTCTATTGTTAATAGACTCTCCCACAGATAATAAGTAGTAGTAGTAGCAGTCGCCAGGGCTCAGAGTGAGTTGGTGAGTCAGTCGATGTCGGACATTAAAGTATCAACCACCACAACTAGATTGCTGCGTCATTAACTATTATAACAAGTTCCTAACGTTTTGTACGTCGAACCATTTTTAGGACCGACTCAGTGAAAATACAAGCCTCCACTGTGAAAACTACTCTACAACAATTAACCAGAACTCCGAGCGTTATACGAATGTTATAAGAGACATCTTGAACACAAGGCGGTCAGAGAGAAACGTCGACTAACTTAACTAACGAGCATAGAACATGAACTACTAGTAATACTAAAGGAAAAAAAAACAGTGTTTAGAGGTAAAAATTAAATGTGAATATCCATAATCGTCGACGTCCTGAAGGGACACGGCACATATAAGAAGTAAAACCATAAGTTTTTTTAAAGAATTAAGTATTCCTAAAAGGAGAACGAACATAGAATACACTGACCCAGACGTAGTTTCACTCTACGCAGCAAGTTGCTTCTTTCTTTTCTTTTTATGTGCCATGTCCTTTCAGGACGTAGGCGATCATGGCTCTCCATCTACCCTCTATCCCTTGCAGCTCTCAACAATTTCCTTCCCTTTGCTTCCTCCCCCAGACCACGTTCTGTCATCCACTTGCTTAAGTCCGCCAAGTATGTTGCGCCATTGTTTTCCCTTGTGTCACTGTCCCTCACTTCGACCTGTGAGTATCAGATTCTGCATGCCCCCCTTCTTCATAATGTGCCCCAGAAACGTCAGCTGCCTTTTTCTGATATTTAGTATAAGCCTCCTCCTTGTTGGCAACCTCTTTAAGATCTCATCGGTGCTCACACGCTTGGCCCATGTTATTCTTAGTATCCTTCTGTAGAACCACATCTCTGTCGCCTCAAGTCTCTTCTTCATCTTTGAGGAATTCGTCACGTAACAGTTCAGTATTCTTTTCTTTGTTTTCATAGATATCCTACTGTCTCGCAGTACATTGCCCAGCTTTTTAAATGTGTCCTTGGCCATCCCAATACTTCTACGGATCTCAGTGTCGCATTTACCGTCCTCTGTCAAGACGTTTCCCAGGCATTTAAACTTCCGCGTCTGCTTGATACTAGTGTTCCCGACCTTCGAATGACATTTCGGACTCAACCTCTTACTGAGCCCGAAATGTGATACAAAAACAAAACATGAATCTGCAAATGTTCTTAAAAAGCCTCGTCAGCTCCAGGCATCCATATGCATGTCACGCATGGCGCCAAACCTGTTCCAAATAGTCTCCGCCTCCTTGTGGGCGAAAAATTATTTTCCACCCTACAAAACCTTTCTGACGGAAGAAACGTAGCAAGTCTGTCACTGTTCTATGAATGGTGCTCAGTCGAACTACATTACTTGGTTCCATCATTTCTAACCTTCATGGTTAAAAGCCACCAAAACTACACACATTATAGTGAGATGTAAGTTCCACCTAAGCAATTTTTTATGTCGCAAAATGCTGCTCTGTGGAACCAATTCCCAAGAGGTTTTCCCTATCATTACAATTTTAACCTGTTCAAGGCTAAACTGTACCTCTTTTTCTGTAACCTTCGACTTCGAATGACACTCAGCCTTGTACAGAGTGAACAGCACCGTATGTGTGCATATATATATATATATATATATATGTGTGTGTGTGTGTGTGTGTGTGTGTGTGTGTGTGTGTATGTGTTTAGGCAGCAATCCTTCTTTCATCCACATTTCATTAAAAACGACAGACAAGGTGCTTTTATTTAGTTTTTTATACAATTTCTCGATCTAATATTTTTTTTCTTCTTTTTGGATGATAAATTATATAAATACTGTCCGCATGTTCTTTTTATCCGAGCGCTTTAGGCTATACATTTAGCCATTTTTAAGGATTATATTTTAACTCCGAGTACAAAATTAAATAGGGCAAATATTATTTACGAATTCAAATGTCCATTAAGGAATTGTATTCCTCAACAATCAACTTTCGTAAATAATTATATAGGCCACACTACAGCATGTTTAACACTCAGACTAACTCTACACCTTTCTGACAATAAGCTCAATTAGATCTTATTTAAATATTCATGGAGCCCTACCGGACACTATTCGGAACATACTTGTCGACAACACTAATGTAATTGCATCATCCATGTGCAAAAAAAAAAGGCTAAAAATAATTTACTGTATTGTTGTAATCCGAAAAATGCTATTAGAAATGAGTTATTGTTTTTGGAGCGTGCAGTCGCAACGCTGAGTTTGAATTTAAATTTTACAATTGTGCGTTCTTATACAAATATGGTGATAAGTGAATTACAACAATACATATATGTTCGTTGTCCTCTTATTACTGAGAGTAAAAACAAGAACAAAATCTATTCCATACCTGAGGATGTCTGTAGGAACAGACGAAAGCTTGTAAAAATAATAGGAACTTATGCAACAGAGATTTATAAAAACAAGGATCTTTTCATTCATAAACAGGTTCGGGGTTTTTGTATATTATTTGAATTGTTCGCGACGATGGATTTCTCGCCAATTAAATCATTAACCTTTATATTTGTTTTTTGTATGAATAATTCATGAATTTGTAAATTAATTGCACCTTTATTGAAATATAAATATATATATATATATATATATATATATATATATATATATAAACTCTCTGCTGTATACAACAACTTTCTAAGATCAATGGTTGAGATCAACGGATAGTTATTAAGTACACTATTTAGAAAGGGATGTTATCATTTTTTTTATTGTAAATGTATATATATTTCTTTATCTTATTTCTAGGATCAATTATTAAAAAAAGGATTTGAGCAAGAGAAACTTTGGTGCCTTTGGAAGGATCATCCCTCTTTGATCACTGTGAACTGTCTTTAGAGATTCACAAAGAACTGTACCAAATAAGAGAAAACACATCACTTGAGGACTACGAACAACAGAATCAACTTTTTTTTTTTAAAAGTATTTTACCCCAAGCAGGGCGGGAGTCTTCCTAGCCCGTAAATGGTTACAGAGAGGGTGAACAAGAGTAAAGGAGTCTGTTTGAGGAAATGATAAAAAGAAGGACGGGTAACTAGATCAAGGCATTGGAAGATGTCGTTTGATATTACATTTGGATATTTGAAGACTATAGCCGACAGGGAAACCAGTAAGAGGCAGGGAGTTCCACAACAGACGAGATAAGAAGCTGTTGGAGTAGAAGTGACGGATATATTTAATCTTTTCGACAGTGAAAGGATGGGCAAGAAATGCCAACCTAGAAGCACGGATTCATGCAGTTTGGGAACAAGCGAAAGTAGCTGGTCGAAGCAATTGCCGTGAATATATTTGTAGAAAAGACAGAGAGAACTAAAATTGATAGCACAATTATATGGAAGCATTACGGTGGAGTAATGGATTGGGGCTCGGATTGCGGGATCGAAGGGCCGAGTTCGAATTCCAGTCGGGTTACTTACGCAGCAATCACTTGCTAATACCTTTGGGAAAGTTATGAATCCATTCGTTCTCCACCGATCTCATGGATAAATATTAGGATAGACTAGATGGAAAAGATTCTAAATTCAAAACAGCATGCCTGGTTATCTTGTGGCTGCAGTACATGAGGGGACCCTAAGACTCTAATACAGGACGCGTGATTGTGATTCAGAAAAGAATATCAAATAAAATGTTCGGAAAAAACATCCCATTATTACTGGAAAAAGCTATAACAAATACTGGACTTGAGAAACCTGTTTTCCTGAAAAAAGTTTTTCAAGAGAAAGATTTTATAAATTTCAAACAAAAGCATTAATGGCTGTTCGTTCAATGAATGCGAAATCTTTCCTTGTAGGGAAACGGTTAATATTAACATTACCATTAAAATTACCATTTACATTAGTATTTCTGCCAAACCTATAGTTAGAAATTGTCCGCACCAGATTGCTCTAAGAATCTCTCTGGTATCGGGAACGGTGATATGATATTTTTTAGGAACGCATATATCGCATGAAAGAGTCTTGAATTTTTTCAACATTGTCAACACTGTTAAAATTTAAAAACGTCTGTCATTATCGACTATGTATATTTTTGATATTGTTTAAAATTAGTTTTGTCTGAGGACACAAATAGGTAACACTTCAAAGAATCGAATTCACTATTGAAGTAATAATTCTTTTGAAAGTACATTGTATTAACCTTGATTTATGACAAGGCGTCATGACGGTGTTTATTATAAAAAATTAGTGATGCCTAGTGTGGTCAGACTCTTTGAATCTTTGTAAAATTTGCAATATGTTTTATGATATAATATTGCAGTTTTTTTTTTCATTTCTGTTTGCACATGATGGGAGTGGAAGATATTTTTAATAACACTATTCTCCGTTAACAAGCATCTGCATTAATCTATCTATCTATCTATCTATCTATCTATCTATCTATCTATCTATCTAAGTCTGCTCATATCTATCTATCTATTTATCTATCTATCCAACTCAATCTGCCTATATCTATCTATCCATCTTTCTATCTATCTCTCTATCAAGCTATCCCAATCTGCTCATATCTATCACATTCTGCTCATATCTATTTATCTATCTATCTCAATCTGCTCATTTCTATCGATTTATGTATCTCAATCTACTCATATCTATTTATCTATCTATCTACCTCAATCTGCTCATATCTATCTATCTATCTATCTATCTATCTATCTATCTATCTATCTATCTCAACCTGCTCATATCTATCTCATTCTGCTCATGCCTATCGATCTATCTATCTCAACCTGCTCATTTCTATCGATTTATGTATCTCAATCTGCTCACATCTATCTATCTACCTATCTCAATCTGCTCATATCTATCTATCTATCTATCTATCTATCTATCTATCTCAATCTGCTCATATCTATCTATCTATCTATCTCTCTATCTATCTCAATCTGCTCATATCTATCTCATTCTGCTCATGCCTATCGATCTATCTATCTCAATCTGCTCATTTCTATCGATTTATGTATCTCAATCTGCTCACATCTATCTATCTATCTATCTATCTATCTATCTATCTCATCTATCTCAATCTATCTATCTATCTATCTATCTATCTATCTATCTATCTATCTCAATCTGCTCATATCTATCTCATTCTGGTCATGTCTATCGATCTATCTATTTCAATCTGCTCATTTCTATCGATTTATGTATCTCAATCTACTCATATCTATCTATCTATCTATCTATCTATCTATCTATCTATCTATCTATCACGGTGTCCACTGAGTGGCGACTGTTTGTTTCATGCTTGA